ATTGATAATAAAAACTCACAAATATCTAAATTAATGGTCCGAATAAGTGCAAAAACTCGCACTTATCACTTACTACCATGCCTTTACATTTATTTTCTTGCATTAAAGCACCAGCTTCGATTAAAAAGTTATCAACAGAATATTTAGTGACTTCTTTTGAGGCTACGCTGATGGCAAGCCTAAGAGGAAATGGGTAGCATGGGATAAAGTTTGTGTGCCTGTTAAAGAAGGAGGAGCTGGGCTTCGTAATCTACATGAAGTGCGATTATCCTTACACGTGAAATTTGCCTGGAAAATTTTAACTGAAACATCTCTTTGGTTAAAATATTTTAGGCTAAAATATATTAAGGACAAACATATATCTGTTGAGATTCTGGAAGATGGTTATAAGTTGCATGCCACATGTTCTTAATCGATCTAGATGGCGAGTGAAGGACGGTGGTGTATCATTTTGGTGGGATAGATGGTCAAATATGGATCCTTTGGGAGACCGGAGGCTATTGGTTGAACAGCCTAATATCTTGATCAAGGATCTAAAAAATGATAATGGGTGGAGTGAAAATATGATAGAGGAGGTAGTTGGGAGTGATCAAGTGGGAGAGGTTCTTACTAAACTGGGAAATATCGAGACAGGCAAAGATAGACTTATTTGGGCTGAAAGCTTGGATGGAAATTTTTTTGCAAAACGTGCTTGGGAAGCTACAAGACGTCAGGGGCAGATATCACACTGGCATGAATAGATTTGACACCCTACTCTACCGAAGAAGATTTCGTTAAATATGTGGTTGGCTATAAAATGAGGTCTATCGGTAGATGACAAAATCCGAAAGGCTTGTATCCCCATTGTATCAAAGTGTATGTGTTGCTTGCAAGGGAGATATGAGGATCAAAATCATGCCTTTGCCTTGGGGAATGTGGCTCAACAAATTTGGCAGAAATGTTCAAACTTACTAGGTGTTCGATACATGCAAACTCAAGAATGGAGAGAGCGTGTAGATATTTGGTTTCGAAGAGCAAAACAAGCATCACATAAAGGTACTCTGGTAGGTATTATTACTAGTATTATTTGCTAGCATTTATGGATGTGGCGATGTTCAGCCAAGATGGAAGGTAAGTTGGAATCTATAGAAGCTACTTGGATAAAGATAAAAGCTTGGATATCTTGGGTGGGGTTAAAACTAAAAGAAGTGAGAACATTAAGTAGAAGAGATGTTTGGGTGTTGAAGGAAATTAACATACCAGTCAAGCCGATTAAGGAAAAAAGAATTAAAGTAGTGAGATGGCAATGACCTATGCAGGGATGGTATAAACTCAATACTGATGGATGTTGTCTGGGAAATCCTGGCATTTGTGGTGCAGGAGGTAATATTCGAAATGAAAAGGGTGATATTGTTATAGCCTTTACTGAGTATCTTGGTGAGGGAACCAATAATGGTGCTGAACTAGTATTATTATATGGGCTCCGACGTACTAAAAGGATGGGAATTAACCGACTTGAAGTGGAGCTCGACTCATTGATTATCGTTAATTGGCTAAAGAGGAAGGTTTGTGGCATTCGGTACTTAGAGGATTATTGGGAAGAAATACAATACCTATTGTCTATTATCTCATGTAGAGTTCAGCACATACATCGCGAGGGTAATTCAGTAGCTGATATCCTGTCAAAACTGGGAGCATCTAGTGTTTCATATATCTGGATGGATTCTATCGCAATCCCATCATCAGTTAGAGGAGCTTTACGAATGGATAAACTAGATATTCCTAATTTAAGAGGTTCTTCTCCCCACAGTCTGACTTTAAATTTTCCAATGTTGTTTTAGATTACTAGGAGTTTTGGAGAAGAGTAACAAAAAGTTAGTTGGTTTTATTTGATTTGTAACCACGGTATTCTTCTGCCACAAGTGAGGTGCTATTAATAAGAGCGAATTCTCCATTATGAAAAAAAAAAGTAGATTTTTAGGGATTGCATTAGTATTTTAGAGTCATATTTAGGAACTTATGCATTTAAATAGTTTGTTTTGAACACATTTTAGGTAGTATTTCAAGATTTGCATTAATAACTTAGTCATGTTTACTTATTGA